GGACTGGGGCCGTCGTCCGGGGGGGTCGGATGGTGGAGTTATCCGGCCACACAGTGGCCGGGTCTGTGTTTTCGCGGGGGTGGAGGCTCGGGCAGAGAGAGAGAGAGAGAGAGAGAGAGAGAGAGAAAAAGGGAGAGGGAAGAAAAATATTAAAATTCTGACTTTTCCCAAAATTACAGTTTTGCCCCTCCACTTATTTTGATCGTATCTTCCTCAGTACCACTCGGATTTCAGCTCACTACGTGTTTACGGACTCGTCTCGACGTGCTCTACGCAACAGTCCTAATCGAAATTTCCAAATTCCTTCCCGAACCTTAAATGACCTTTTTGTCCCTTTTTAATATTAACTAATATTTTAAATTCTCAAAAACCTTAATTAATTTAAATCATTTTATCTCAATGTTTATTTTAATTTATTTTCTCATTCAAACTTATTCCCTCTCATTTTAATTATTTAATCTTCCCTGAATAACAAGTCAACTCTCAAATCATTTAAATATTTCCGAGGTAAAATTATCTTTTTCCTGAATAATTTAATATTTAACTATTAATTTAGGACCGGGTTGTTACAGTGAATAATTAATTCACCTATACAATCTCGGTAAATTCTTATACCTACAAATATAGGTAAAATTGGTACCCATTTTTATTGTTATAAATAACGTGCCTATTTTTTCATAAATAATGTACCTATTTATTTTATAGAACTAATTTCAATAGTAACGTTTCTTTTTTTCTTTTTTTTTTTATAGAAACAATGTACCTATTTTCTCATAATTAATGTAACCTTTTTCTTTATAAATATTTACGTATTTTTTATATAGATAATTTACCTTGTATTAGATATGTAGAATATAGGTAAATTATTTTTTAGTAGACATGGTCACAATAATTTTTAGGTTAATAAAAATAGCGTACCTAGTCTAGAGTTTTGGAATTGCAAGGCCTACATTTTATAACAAATATGTCGATGTAGCATACAAATACAACGGCTACCAAAATCACGAGAATAACCACGAGCAGCACCATCTAAGTTAATTTTAAAGTTAAAATACTTGAAATCTTATACTTTATAATAAAATATTTAACGGGGCAATGATGGAATTGGAAAGAGGGTGAGGCAAGGATACCAATCCCATCCACATTTCCAAGAGTGGATGACCACAATTTCCTCATACCAAAGGAGTTTTGAAGAACGGGACTGAGTAATTCTTATACTAATCATTTAATGAGCAACAAAACAAATCAAATCAAAGAATCCGAATGCAAAATGGAGGAAGTTGCTCCGAAACTCTATGATCAGATATTCAACACTAAATATGCCCAAGTGTTTCGTGATCATCACTATAATACGAGAAACTTTCATGTGTAATCGTAAGACCCCATGTAATATATATTAACCTAAATTATAGGGGCATTTCAAAATAGACTTGGTCAATAACCAAAGTGTTTTGAAGAACTCTCCTATTATAGTTGTTGAATAAAAACTCAATTTTCATTTATTAGTATCAATAAATATATAGGTATTATATTAATATTGGGTTGGGTAGAGATATTTCCATATGTTTCACTTAAGTCAAGTCCACATTTGCAAGAAGATATTTGTAGCTTGTGCCTAGGAGGATGGGATGCAAAGCCAACGGTTGATTGGACACGGGAAGGCACCTTACCAAGTCAAGCCTTTGCAAGTCAATTGGGGCACGCGTTGGAAGACAAATCACCATACCAATTCTAAGTCAATAGTTGCATTAACGGGCAAATCACCATATGGTCCATACCAAGTCTATGTCACAAGTCTTCGATCTCATCCACTAATTTCCCCACTATTCATTGATTTATCACTTCTTTACTTGGACCACTAAAAATTTATGAATAAGAGTCGATTGTACGTTGTATAGTTTTTTTTCTTCTTCTTGTTAGAAAATTTGGTATAATACACTTTTGTGTGTAATTGTATGACCCCATGTAATATTAACCTAAATTATAGAGGCATTTCAAAATATACTTGGTCAATAACCAAAGTGTTTTGAAGAGCTCTCCTATTATAGTTGTTGAATAAAAACTCAAATTTCATTTATTAGTATCAATAAATATACAGGTATTATATTAATATTGGGTTGGGTTAGAGATATTTCCATATGTTTCACTTAAGTCAAGTCCACATTTGCAAGAAGATATTTGTAGCTTGTGCCTAGGAGGATGGGATGCAAAGCCAACGGTTGATTGGACACGGGAAGGCACCTTACCAAGTCAAGCCTCTGCAAGTCAATAGGGGCACGCGTTGGAAGACAAATCACCATACCAATTCTAATTCAATAGTTGCATTGACAGGCAAATCACCGTATGGTCCATACCAAGTCTAAGTCACAAGTCTTCGATCTCATCCATTAATTTCCCCAATATTCATTGATTTATCACTTGTTTACTTGGACCACTAAAAATTTATGAATAAGAGTCGATTGTACATTGTATAGTTTTTTTTCTTCTTCTTGTTAGAAAATTTTGTATAATCCACTTTTGTGTGTAATTGTATGACCCCATGTAATATTAACCTAAATTATAGGGGCATTTCAAAATATACTTGGTCAATAACCAAAGTGTTTTGAAGAGCTCTCCTATTATAGTTGTTGAATAAAAACTCAAATTTCATTTATTAGTATCAATAAATATACAGGTATTATATTAATATTGGGTTGGGTTAGAGATATTTCCATATGTTTCACTTAAGTCAAGTCCACATTTGCAAGAAGATATTTGTAGCTTGTGCCTAGGAGGATGGGATGCAAAGCCAACGGTTGATTGGACACGGGAAGGCACCTTACCAAGTCAAGCCTCTACAAGTCAATTGGGGCACGCGTTGGAAGACAAATCACCATATCAATTCTAAGTCAATAGTTGCATTGACGGGCAAATCACCATATGGTCCATACCAAGTCTAAGTCACAAGTCTTCGATCTCATCCATTAATTTCCCCAATATTCATTGATTTATCACTTGTTCATTTGGACCACTGAAATTTTTCTTCAATTATCTTTTTCCACATAGTGATATCAATAAGAGTTAGTTGTATGTTGTATAGTTTTTTTTTTTTCCCCTTCTTTTTAGAAAATTTTTTATAATCCACTTTCATGTGTGTAATCGTAATACCCCATTTAATATTAACCTAAATTATAAGGGCATTTCAAAATAGACTTGGTCAATAACCAAAGTGTTTTGAAAAGCTCTCTTATTATATTTGTTGAATAAAAACCCAATTTTCATTTATTAGTGTCAATAAATATATTGGCATTATATTAATATTGGGTTGGGTAGAGATATTTCCACATGTTTCACTTAAGTCATGTCCACATTTGCAAGAAGATATTTGTAACTTGCGCCCAAGGGGATGTGATACAAAGTCAATGGTTGAGTGGACACAAGAAGGTACCTTACCAAGTCAAGTTGAATCAATACCTGTCAGTTGGAGCACGAGTTGGAAGGCAAGTCAACATATCAAGTCTAAAGCACAAGTCTTTGATCTCATCCATTAATTTCCCCAATGTTCATTGATTTATTACTTGTTTACTTGGACCACTGACAAATTTTTCTTCAATTATCTTTTTCCACACAGTTACATGAATAAGAGTCACTTGTACGTTGTATAGTTTTTTTCTTCTTCTTTTTAGAAAATTTGGTATAGTCCACTTCTGATGACATAAGTGAAATTGGACCTATATCTAACAGCTCCTTTTTCCTTTTTGTAAATTATAACTAGAGAGTTCTCCTCATTATAGGTCACAAGACACCACCCTGGATTCTTATTTTTTGTTGGATCCACCCTCGACTCTTAAGTAAAAAAAACCTAAACTTAGTATAACATTAAGAAAAAAAAAATTAAAATAACAAGGTGATAAGAAGCAAAACCCTTCAAAGAACGAATAATGGGGAAAAAAAAAAACATGCATACAATTGTCAAAAATCAATTTGGTTGCTGTTGAGAATTAAAGTAGTGGAATATTGATTTAAGAATTGTGGTCATCATTCATTTCATCCATGCCATCATAATTAATTTGGTTTCGGTAATTGTTATTCATGCATCTTACTTTTTGGCTTGTGCATCATAATTAATTTGGTTTCTGTAAGTTATGATGGAACAATTAGAGTGTACTTAATTTAATTACCTCCATAATAAAGAGATTCGAATCCAAAGTATTAGGAATTTTCTTTAGCAAGTGATTTGTATTCTTATTTGTAAGGACTTAGAATCGCGCCTTGACATTCTAGTCTCATTGTGATTGACGTGTGATTTCCATAACATTAATTATGCATTGTATTATGTATATAGCAGGTAATTTACTCCTTTATATAGTTTTGTCTTATATGAATGTGTGGCATTGTTTTAGCTAAACCGTGTTTTTCTTTGTAAAGGCTTTCTTGCTTTTTTCCTATATATATCTGATGCAAGCTAGCATATCAATATATACTTGCAGTGTTTTTGCATGTGCATGTGCTTTGATCAATTAACATGAAGGGCGACGGAAGGTGCTTGAAACTCTTGCTTGCATTTTCAATCCTTTTCCAACAAAACGTAAACGGAGGAGAAGTTGGCCACAACCACAGCCTCAGAGATGCTAAAGTGACAATGAGGTGCATAGAGAGGGAAAGGCAAGCACTACTTGCATTCAAACGTGTCCTGGTGGATGGGTTCAATTATCTCTCTTCTTGGGGTTCAGAAGCCCAAAAACAAGATTGTTGCCGATGGGAAGGAGTCTATTGTAGCAACCAAACTGGCCATGTGATTCAACTTGGTCTTGCAGATTTACAAGGTAAGATGATTAGTCCTAAACTGATTGAGTTGCAGCATTTACAATATTTGGACCTTGAATTCATTGATTTCAATGGGAGCCAAATTCCAGATTTCATTGGTTCTCTAACGAATCTAAGATACCTCAGTCTCAGTTCCTGTAATTTGGTTGGTCAAATTCCAAGTTCGTTTGGAAACCTCACGCAATTGCAACATCTCGACCTCGGCTATAATCAGCTTCAAGCAGAAAATCTCAATTGGCTCCCTGCTCTTTCTTCTTTAACGTATTTGGACCTAAGCGGAGCCAATCTCAGTACTTTGGACTTTGCATTGATTAATTTCAATGGGAGCCAAATTCCAGTTTTCATTGGGTCTCTAACCAATCTAAGATACCTCAGTCTCAGTTCCTGTAATTTGGTTGGTCAAATTCCAGATTTCATTGGTTCTCTAACTAATCTAAGAAACCTCAGTCTCAGTTCCTGTAATTTGGTTGGTCAAATTCCAAGTTCATTTCGAAACCTCACTCAATTGCAAAATCTCGACCTCTCCTATAATCAGCTTCAAGCAGAAAATCTCAATTGGCTTGGAAACCTCACGCAATTGCAAAATCTCGACCTCGCCTATAATCAGCTTCAAGCAGAAAATCTCAATTGGCTCCCTGCTCTTTCTTCTTTAACGGATTTGGACCTAAGCGGAAACAATCTCAGTACTGTTTTCGATTGGCCAGAAGCAGTACTTAATAAGCTCCCTAAACTAGTAGACTTGCACTTGATGAGTTGTAGTCTTCCTCCTCCTCCTACTCCAATTCTTTCCATTACTCTTTCTAAAACAAATTCTTCTACATCTCTTGCGCATGTTAGTCTCAGGAACAACCATCTCACTTCGCCAATATTTCTTTGGTTGTCCAACTACAGTACAAGCCTTTTTACTCTTGGCCTCTCCAACAATAATCTAACTGATTTAATCCCCGATTTCAATGGAAACATGAGCTCTCTTGAGTATCTGGATCTCTCTGATAACCAGATTGAAGGAGCGAATCCAAATTCGTTTGCAAGGCTGTGTAATTTGCGAACATTGCAGCTTCAAACAAATCATCTGAGTGGACAATTATCCAAGTTTGTTCAACTATTGCCTAGATGTGCTCAAAACTCATTAGAGGAATTGTACCTCTCTGAGAATGTTCTTGCGGGGTCATTAAACAATCTTACAAGCTTCTCATCTTTGCAATTCTTGGATCTTCATGCCAATCAATTAAGTGGAAAAATACCTGAAAGTATTGGGCAAATGTCGCAACTGCAATACATCGATTTCAGCATAAACTCCTTGAAAGGGGTGGTTTCAGAAACTCATTTCTCAAAACTCTCCAAATTAATTTTTTTGGATTTATCCTCTAACTCACTAGTTTTAAATTTCCATTCTGATTGGGTTCCTCCCTTCCAGTTGGATTACATAAATTTGGCGTCTTGCAAGGTTGGTCCTGTTTTCCCAAAATGGCTTCAAACTCAAAAACATACTTCCAAGCTTGATATTTCGAATGCTGGAATTTCTGATATCCTTCCAAGTTGGTTTTGGAGTAATTTTCATAACGCAGACGTTATTAATCTCTCACAGAACCTAATCAGAGGAATATTTACAAATTTGACAGTGGAGTTTACATATAACCTAGAACTACATTTGAGTTCGAACCAAATAGAAGGTCCATTTCCCTCAACTCTATCACAAGCCTCCTATCTGGATCTTTCCAATAATAAAATTTCAGGGTCTCTTTCTTTCTTGTGCGAAAGTGCATATATGAATTTAGCATTTCTTAATCTTTCAAGCAACAATTTTTATGGAGACCTTCCAGATTGCGGGAGCCAGTTGGCGGCTCTAGTCATGCTTGATTTGAGTTACAATGCTTTTTCCGGAAAAATTCCCGTGACAATAGGCTCTTTGTGGCAAATAGCAACTTTGAAATTAAGAAGCAACAGATTTATTGGAGAATTGCCTTCATCCTTGAAGAACTGCACAAGATTACAAGTTATTGATCTGGGAGATAATGAATTATCAGGATCAATACCTAAATGGTTAGGGGTCAGCTTGAAGAATTTGGTTATCCTGATGCTTTCCTCTAATCACTTCAATGGAAGCATGCCCTCGCAATTATGTCATCTAACACGAATTCAAATTTTGGATTTCTCGGTGAACAACATTTCTGGAAGCATACCCAAATGCCTTAACAATTTGACTACTCTGGCTCAAAAAGGAAATCCAAGTTTATCCAGCATACATATTTATGACAGGAGTGATAAGACAACTGCTCCTACTATTTATGAGGATGATGCAAGCTTCATATGGAAAGGAAGAATGCAGACATACAAAGCCACTTTGCGCCTTGTGAAGAGAATTGATCTCTCAAGCAATAGATTAACAGGGGAGATTCCAAGTGAAATCACTCATCTTGTTGAGTTGACCTTTCGAGAAACCAGTTAACAGGTCAAATAACTCCGGAGATTGGAAACTTGGAGTCATTGGACTCGCTTGATTTATCAAGAAACCAGATAGATGGAAGAATTCCGACAAGCCTTGCTCGGATAGATCGTCTTAGTTTCTTGGACTTGTCATATAACAACTTGTCTGGCAAAATACCAACAGGCACTCAGCTCCAAAGCTTTGATCCCCTTGATTATGCTAAAAATCCTGAACTCTGTGGACCTCCACTTAAAAAGATGTGTGCTGATCAAAATGAGCAAACTGACTTGAGCAATGAAGAGGATAAGGATGAGTTTATAACACTGGGATTTTACATCAGTTTGGGCATTGGGTTTGCTACTGGATTTTGGGGAGTTTGCGGCACTTTGATATTCAACAGGCCATGGAGATAAGCATACTTCAAGTTCTTGAATGATTTAAATGATTGGCTTTATGTGAGGATAGCTTTGATCAAGCGGCAACTGAAGTTAGCATATGCTTAATAGATAAGCTCGTGACGGTACTCTTTCTCTCTCATCATTAATTTCGTTTTATAATTATTTTCTTATTGCATTTTTTCTTTTCTCCAAATTGAAGGGTATTAATTTGTTTACTTTGATATTTAGCTGCAGCATCTAAATTAGGAGAAAAGTAGTGTGGAAGATTGCCAGTACTCGCACGCACAAGTATCTGGAGAAGAGTTTACGAGTTAATTTGGAGTGCTTAGTAGGAATAAATATGATTTATATTGTCAGAATAATTAATTCGGAGTTCTCTGGTTTATGTATTTTTTTTTTTTTTTTTGTTTATTGAGAGAAAAAACAGATCCATTCAAATCCAATCATAACAGAGGCAATTATAATTATACATGACGAACACTGCCCCAAAGGACGGTTCTTGCAAACAATAAACCATACAAATGAGCAAGACAGTACAATTTAAGCAAGAACAGTGAGCAAAACTCCACTGACAGTTTAATCCAAGCTCACTCCGATTAATGTATTAATTCCAGCTATAGTGTTATTTTAATTAACTAAGCCAAAGCCAAAGCGGACTTGATTTCAAATTACAATGTGTGGCTCTATTTTGGTCATCTATTTGCAACGTACAGCTTCTCCTTGTAAATTGGGGGTCAGCTTCTCCTTGTAAATGTGTGGCTCTGTTTTGGTCATTCGTTCCTTTCATAATTCAACATCTTGTTCTGGCCACATGGTAGAAGATGCCTTTTTGTGAACAGACTTTTTGTATTTGGTCAGGCTTGCAATGCTCTATTTTGTGGGTTTTAAGATTGTATTAGGCTTACTTGTGAGCTGCAAAATGCCTTGTACCAAAGTTTATGTATAAAATGTGTGCTGAATCTTGTGTGTGGGGTACAAGATTGAAGGTCTTCCTGGAAAAGCAATCACAAGCATTTTCTCTCTTTTCAATTGTAGAAATGTTCAAGTTCTTGCCAATTACTTGCAGATATATAGTGTTGTGTAGCATAAAGGCTCCAACATATGCAATTCCATCAAGGCCTGCAGGCCAATCACTGCTCTCTCTTGGATATTACAAACATTTGTAGAGCCATAATGAAAACTTGGTAGGCAAACCCAAATACTCGCATTGACCATTTGCTTAAACTTGATAGGCTAGCAAGGGGCTTGTAGCTCAAGCGGTTAAGAGCATCTATCCCTGCACTCAAGGTCTTAGATGTGATTCCCTCCTCCCAATATCGCTTGTAACCAAAAACAAACAAAAAACTTGATAGGCCAGACCCAGTCCCAGATTAACCTGTTTTTCATAAACTTGTTGGTCAGCTTGATAGTGGCTTATTAGAAGTCCAAATTGGTTGGGAAAGTAATGTCCACCAATTTTAACAGATACCCTTTTGGACAATGTTGAACAGAGCACTTGATTGTTAATGACTAGGGCCCCAAGGGTATGTTCTAGGTATGCTACCTTATGCCTAAAATAACCCTTTTGTTGTGATGATCTTTAAAGGGTGACCAAGAACGTACAAAATTTTGTTCATTAAACCATATTGTAGAGGCTATCGAAAATTTGCCTGCACCTCCAGAAATCAAGGATCCATCCCAGAGGCACAGAGGAGATGGCCTGGTTCAAAGTGGCGGAATCTTCAGGTGGCTTAAGCTACTCTGAGCCTTTACCAAGTGATCTTGCTTTTATGTTCCCTAATCAATATTATAATGAAGGGTTTTTCTGTTTGCTTTGAATGTTCAACGGTTGATTCTTCTACATTCACTTCATTAACATGTAGAGTGGGATGACAAAATTAGATACTGACAAGACAAAATTAGATACTGATTTTTCCGCGGACCAATTAAGCCAGTTGAATTCTACAGGACAGGGAATCGAAGATAAATTAGCTGCAGGGTTTGTTAGTCCCTATAACCTTGTGAACCAGCTGACATTTGCCAACCAAAACCAAAGTGCAGCGCAACTACAAACTAGCCCACGGCGTATGCAGCCGCCTTTGGAATCATTACTCTACCACTCCCAACAAACTACTATGCCTCATTCAGAATTCAATAGCACAAATGGTTCGCTTCCATTCCTAGACAATGATGAATGCATATTTTACCAGTCTTGTCAACCCTTTGCTGGGACACTTAGATCACCGGGGCCTTTGTCTGTGTTTGATTTGCAAGATTCTTCAGCTGTTTTAACTGAAGCAAATAATTCCTCCCTAACTTCAATTGGTCAGGAAATGTGGGATAATAGCCTGAATAATTGTAGGCTCTTACCCCACGTGGATCAGCTCACTTCATCCCATCGAGATCCAGGTTGCCTTAATTGTATTTCTAACTCAAGCAGTCTGAGAGATTTGTCAGATGAGAGCAACAATCAAAGTGGGATTTATGGTTGTCCAAACGTTGATGTTGGTAGTGGTGTAAGCACTGTTATTGACCCTTCTGTTTCAAATACCATACTGGATGAGTTTTCTACACTAAAGAATGCAGATTTCCACAACCCCTCAGATTGCTTGGTTGGTAACCTGAGCTCGAGCCAGGATCTTCAGTCTCAGTTTACCTCTGCCAGCCTAGGCGATTCCCAGGCTTTCTCCAGGCAAGACCTGGCAGACAACTCAGGTGTTTCCGGCTTGATGGTGCCTGATATATTGATCTTACTGTGCATTCAGAAAACTCAAGCTAGGTCAGTTGATGCGGCTACTAGTGTACTTTAGCTTTTGTGCTTTAAGCGGGTTTGATGTATTATTAGTTAGCAGGAAGTGGAACTAGATGAGGAAACTGTACTAGTGTACTTAGAACATTTGTGCTTGATGTAACTTTTATATCTACTAAACATGGCATAGTTGACGCAGACTATAGACATGAGGTACCTCCGGTCTCTGAAAGAGGTTATAAAACTAAATGGTTTATTTATCCATGCTTTTCTTGGGTTAAAGCCTGAGGCCACAGAATTGAAATTACCAGTACAAAGATATTTGATAACTGATTCTTCAACTTCTTGGGGGAAAACCCAGACCATGCTAACAAGCTAGGATCAGAGAAGGTCATACATCAAATATTGAATGCTACATTTCCTAACAATTCATTGTCCAGAGAACAGAACAGCTAATATCTCCTAAAGTAGAAATCAAGAAATAAAGTAGCTTTTAAATTACACAACAGATTCTACCCCCAGCTTGCTTGCAGTAAGGAAAATAAGCAATTGATGACGCCCTTATTGCGACGTTGAAGGAATTTCACGAGGATGTTAAAAAGTAACGGGGCCACACAAATTTTGTGCACTCAAATGTCAAAAATTAGCTCAAGTAATTACAAGATATTCACATTGAATCCGTACAGAAAAACCAAAAGCAGCAGATGACACACATATCAAGCACGTCGCTTACTAAGATGCCAAGAGTAGGTTCATGGTATCTATCATATAGCGGTTCAATACGTTCTTGAAGCTTGCGCTTGCTCATCTTGGTGGGATCTGCCACTTTGAAGAACCTGGGTGCCAGTTCCACGAGCCATTTGGGGTCGACGACCGTCACCTCACGCATGTACTCCTTTGTGGTCATAACCAGCTCATGGTAGATCACCCAATCTGGTTGTCTCTGGAAGAGGGCGCTGCTTGGGTGTATATAAACTGGTTGGTTCTCCACTAGGGTTCTATAACCCTCCTGCGGGTCCTTTCTAGCACCGTGGAAGAAAAACCCTGCTGTAATTGCCTTCCTGATCTTTGTAAAATTCTTTCCAGCACTCACAACATCTAGTTTATACCTGAAATTCACAACCTATAGTCAGAATGCAATTTCATCTTCAAATCAGAATACTCAACTTAGAAATCGTTGATCACTGTTATAAACTAAAGCAAGGCAAGGGGTGCTAGTAGAGACATTGGCATGACAAATTTATGCTAGGTTTTTATACATAATCTTTATAATAATCTATCCTAGAGCTTACATGACAATGCTATGTTCAATCAATGAAATCTGTTAATGGCGATGGTAGGATGTGTAATATGCCATCTGAATTTCCATATCAACTTTTAAAACAATTTTGCAATATTTTGTACAAACAACACTTTACCAAGAAAAACAATTCCGGTATCAAAATGACAAACAGTTCTGCACAAGAGAGCACATTTGAAGAGTATATACTGGCAATTTAGCTATACACAAAAGGGTAGTTATAATTTATAAAGATACTATACTTAACCACTGAAAAAATGGTGGAAAAAAGCACTTCTGCTAATAATGCTCTGGAAACAGTGTATGAGGTAACATCAACATGACAACTCGTTATGACCTATTCGCTGCTCAGGTACCATATATCTAGATTTTAAAACACAAACTAGGCCTGAACAACATTTCAGCAATTCCATCAAGTACAGACAGCAAAAGGCATGCCTAATTCAAGACTACTGCAAAAATACAATGTACCAAACATGAGCAAACCTAGAACATTAATCTACATCTTTTAAAACCATTCATGCACATGTGAAACCAGAAAAAAAGATCCATGCAACCACGAATACACATCAAGATAAATTAGAAGAACATACTTGTCCATGATGCTGAGAAGCTGTTTTCTGACATCCTGTGCCCTCCTCAAGGATCGAGACTGAACAAAGTTCTCAAAACACCATGGCCCTGAAAAATTCTTAGCTTTCCATGCCTCATAGACTGCAAGTAAAGTCAGATGATCTCCCTCTGGCTGGAAAAACTTGGCTCTCTTCTGATCTGCCTGGGCTTGTTTTTCCCTAGGCCTGTAAAAAATATTACCAGTCTGAATCATTGCAATGATGGTCAAGATCTCATCACTGCATCCAAGGTCCACACTGGCCAATAGCATCTTAGACAAGGGTGGATCCAGAGGAAACTCAGCCATTTTCCTACCCAATTTGGTGAGCAGCCCCTCCTCATCCAGTGCTCCTAAACTGTACAATTGTTCCATGG